GTAACTATTATAGTGGTGGATACATCACAAAGACTTTTGGCTCCCGTACTTCTGGCACTACTGATGCCATTCAGATTGAACTACCCCAGTGGGTTAGGGCAGCTGAAGAACGTCCCAAATTTTGTAAAGCACTAGCACATGCCATAATGAAATTCTGGCAAGCTAACTACTGCAACCAGTACAGCCACGAGCTTCTGCCGTGTGGAAAGAGGATGTCTTTACTGAAGTTGCTTTCCACAAAATAGCAGTGATCTGGAACAACAGAAGAACCAATACAGCTGGAACATTTAAACCTGCAATCAGTTATGGATACTAAAGAAAGATGCTAACCTGCAAAGAAATATAGGAACATCAACAGACAGAGAAAATCCACAGCTATTACCAACAAACCAGCTAACAAACAACTTTGTACCACATCCAACAGTTAAGAGACTGCCTGAAGATGAGTGCGTATCTCTGGAAATACCACATCTGATATGCTTCTCTATTCTCAGTTTCTTTCCAGTAGCAACCCTGGTTCTGTAGGATACAATAAACAACTATGCTTATCCTAAACAATTCCGTGTGTTGCAGTGCATTAATACATTATCTACTCACTAAAATGGACTGTCTCTGCTTTTCCTGAGACACTTTGGGGGAAAAAAAGTCAACTGGATAATATGACTGTGTAAAATATTTGGAACTGGGAGCAATTTTTATTTGGTATTTATAAAGCACTAGGATTTGGAGCTCTTCAAGGAAACAATGACACACAATCTGAATTACTTCATGGTTCCCTCCTGAGAGCTTGTACACTGGCTACGTTCAGCATAGGATTGAAAACTTAATTTGTTACAGGGAAATATATTACATTAGAGATGTAGCATTCTGCACAGTGAAGAATAAGGTGCTATGAATAGAAATGAGTACAAATCAAGTCTTGAAAAATATATACATTTCATAAGGAAAGCCAAAGACAGCTACTAGCAACACTGAAAACAGTTAACTAGAAAATGAGGATATATGAAGTTCTAGCAGGATACAGAATAAAGAGAAGAATGACTCACTGTCTATTGTAGAGAGCATTCATAAACTGTAATAAAATAGCCGCATCTTACAGTCCGAGTTAATACTTTTGTTCCAACCGTAAGTAGGGGCAATAACAAAAAGAACCTCTTACACAATTTTAAGATATCACACATGGATTTTTTATAGGCGCTCTCTGAACCCAGACTGTTCATTTTTAATGAATCTTTGAGGACGAGGTAGGCTTCAGTAACTGGAAGAAACCTGATGTGACTGTCTTTCAAAGGAAAACAGGACTCAGGGAATTGCAGGAATATTAGCTTTTGTATGTTACTGGTAAATCCTGGGAAGGATGAAGAAGATGCAAATAGTAAATAGTTAACAGATTGTGGTTTATCTGCTGTCACTTGGTTTGTCAGACAAATTTGGTCATATCAAACCTGATAATTATCAGCTGGTTAGGGCGAAAAAACACCAGAAAAAAAGATACTGGACTTTTTCTCCACAGAACAGTAGGTATTAACTGCACCAGTTACATGGATTACTCTGTGTATTACTAAGGTGATGCACTTGAGAAACAACTTGTACCTTTAGCCATAGGAAGATGACAGGAGCTCTCCAATATGTGTCATGCCATGTCAGAGAGTGGGACGCTGTTTGGGAATGCTGAAATGCTAGAAGGAAGATGGGAAGTCGTGATAGATAATTAATCGAACATAAGCTCAGCCTATACTCTTCGAGCTAAGAGAATGGACATACTCTTTGAAATCATAAGCAAGGAACTAACAAGCAAAAAACAAAGGGCATTTTAACTCTGTTTTTTATCTGTTATAGGACTGTGAGTATAAAATTGAGTTCTGAGGCAGACACTTCAGAAAAGATACCTGCTGTGAGAGAAGGATCTCAGAAAGTTATATAATCATTAAAGTAAAAAAGTAAACAGAGCCCGATCATTCTGCAATTTCTTATACATATACATAAAATATATGTATATCGGTAATCCATAAGGCGTTTTTTTAGTGCTTCAAGAAGCAGCATGCTTGTTATCTTTAATACTGAAAACCTTCTTTATCCACAGCAGCAGTACAGCATTCATGCAAGCATCGGTTTACATCTGTATCCCTTAAAGCTGATTTGGTCACTTGAAGAGGCCCAGGAATCAGGCGCTGCTCCGTCCCAAACTGGCACTTGCTCATTCTTAATGGGAGAAGTATGCAACAAGGTTGTCATTTAAAGGAGTCTACCCCAGGTTATCATCCTTAGTAGTAACACTGAAGAACACCGCAGATGTATATTATCATCTGCGATACAGCGTTTACTGGGCCAGGAACGGAAGATCTGCATATGTTTTGGTAAGCAGTCTCTGTGACTGCCTCAGCGGAGCCTTTTCACAGCCTCAGATCTCCTCAGAGCATTTCCCTTTGGTAGTTTGAGTGTCTCCTTGCTCAGTGTATTTGAATTTATAACTATTATACTGAAGTCTCACCAAGCACGGCATGGGCAGCCCTAGTATCACAGCAGGTCTAAGGCTTCTTCTAAGCGACTCGAGCATCATGATATCATAATTTAGGTCACAAAGGACCCAAAGGATCTCTGAAAATCACCAAATTCAGTGCCCTTCTCAAAATAGGTCCAATAGGATTCAGTTGCTCAGGCCTGCGTCCAGTTAAGTCTTGAACTCCTTCAAGGACAGAGATTCCACAGCCATTCTGGGCAACAATATTTGACTAGCCTCAGGGTAAAAAAAAATAGACTAAAAACCTAATACCTAATCATCATATTCCATATTCCAACTTGAGTCTGTTAGCTCCTGTCCTACCACATCTCGAAGAAGACACTATCTCCATCTTCTTTGCATCCTCCTCCTCTCAGGTAGTTGTAGAAACCAATGAGGTCTCCCCTCACCCTTCTCTTCTCTAAGCTGGACTGGACAAGTTCTCACCACCTCATCTTATGCATCATGTTCTTAAGTCCCCTGACCCTTTGGGCGGCCCTCTGTCTAGCATGCCAATATCCTTCTTGTGCTGGGGAACACAAAACTGAACACAGTACTCCAGGTGCAGTCTTACAAGTGCCAAATCATTTCACTGGATATGCTGGCAATATTCTTACTAATGCAGCCCAGGCTGCATCTGGCCTTCTTTGCTGCAAGGGCATATGTTCAACTTGTTCACAAGGACCCTCAGACCCCCTTCTGCAGAGCTGCTTCCTATGTTTTAATGGATTTGCTAGAAGCAAACATTCCCTAGATGTTAGTCTATGCCATCTGTGAAGTCTAACAAATGTCCCCTCTGTCCTTGGAATGGAAAATAATAGATATTCAGGATACTAAAAGAACTGGTGTGTGAATTAAATGGTGTTGCTGAAGTTCTAAAAACAGAGCAATTCAGAGCAGAAATAGCACCTGCCTGAATGCTTGTGACTATTACTTTCAGTACATGTAATTTTCCTTGACTGCAGTAACTGCAGATACTTGGAGGATTTCACATGGCAGAAAAAAAAAGCAGCCAAAGGTGCTGAATGGGACCACAATTGTTGCTGGTGTCTGACTATGTCTTGTGATTCTTTTCTTAAACAAATGCAATTGCTGCAAAACACAAGACAACATTTAGTTGCAAAAATAACATTTACTAATATAAATAACTACTAACTGAACACCACACTTCTTGTCATAGGTATTTCTTTCTTAGGGAAGAAGCATTAGAGAAGACAGAAAAAAGATTTTCAAACTTTTTCCATCCTTTGCTTATTTAGGAAGAAAAAGACACATTTTTTTTTTCTGGTCCCTTAGTGCAACATTTGTAATCTATATTACAAATATATTCTAGTTGCCTCTTGTCCTATCACTGTGCACCTCTGAGAAGAGTCTGGCTGTGTCATCTTATACTCAAGTGAGTATATGAAGTCCTGCAACAGGGAGCTTAGAACTGGATACAGTACTATAGATACTCAAATATGTTGATGCAGATTTCACATGCTAGCAGGTATGGTTTCTGGCAACAACTATGTCATGGGAAACATTTTTTTTGACTTGAGTGTACCAAAGCATACCTCTCTACCAAAAACTTGTAGATCAACACATGTTGGTCCTTACCTATAAGAGTTCATGTGTAGAATTCCTTTTGATCCAAATTTTTTAGTGGTAATTTCCCATTTGAATTAAAAAGTCCATGGCAAAGTAGCCAGAAAGAATAGACAAAAATTCTGGGGAATTTCTCTCCTGAAGTTTCATAAACTGTCTTCTTGCAGGTAACTGGCTTTGGGAAGTCACTAAGTGTATTTATATATGTATATGTATGTGTATGTATATACATGTATTTATAGTGTCATCCAGAACTACCCCTTCCTGCAGTTTCTCCCAGATCTAGACTGTCCTTCTGAGCAGAAAATGCATAATGTGTTTTGTTGAAAGATGTCACTT